CTCCAAGATCTGGGTAGCTATAGGTGGGCTTGCTCGTTGTAAGAGTCTTCATGGTAAAGTCACCACTGGTTCCTTCCCAGGCCAGATAATCGGCTGGGTTCGAGAGATCCTTGTTGGTGGCTCGTTCTTTACCATCAATGGCCTCATCTTTTTCTTCTCCCACCGCCTCAAGAAGAAAAGAGGTAAATATTTAATTTTTATTGCACCACACTAATTCTTTTGATCCCGGGACTTCATTTTCTTTGCCAAAAAAAAATAAAAATCCTTCATTTTGAGTGTTACTTTACCTTCCTTTCTGGGGAGGGTGTTCTGGACAGAGCTTGAACAGGATCACTGCTCACCCTCCTCTCTTGTTTGAACCCCAAACTGATTTCCCTTAGAGGTCCAAGAATACAGAGAAGCAATTTTTGATGCTGTTACTTCCCTCATTTACAGATCTGGAAGAAGGATTCAGGATGGACTAACAAGATGAGTTAGAAGAAGAACCCTTAAAGGTTTTACTCTGTTTTGCCAAGGCAATCCGTTCCGTTGGGCCCTGCCTGATTCCTCATTGTCTGCCTCAGTGTCCTGAAGAGACAGAAGCAGTGAACTGGAAGTACCTGACTACTCCTCTCCTCTGTGCACAACCCCATGCCTTGAGTCTTACCAATTAAAGCTGGTTGTTGTATTTAGGTCTTGTGTGTTTCATGGGAAGGTGTTTCTTTCCATCCTCCTTCCTGAAGTGTGTGTATTTGTGTGTGCTTGTGCACAGCCTCGGGGTCATGGCAGAGAAAATCTCTGGGTTTTAGGGTTGTGACTATTTTGCATTTCAGTCTAGACGTGCTGTTGGCTCAGAGAAGAGCCTCTGGGTTGATTTGTGCGTCTGCTCTATCCCACACCTAACCCACAATTAAACCTGGTTTTTGCTTGCCTCTGAAATTCAGCCTCATTTCTGAATTTTCACAGCACCTCCTCTGTGGATGAGCGTGGTGTTAACCAGGCCTGCCCCGTGGGGCTGAGTTTCCCTTCCTCCAAGAAGACACAAGGCACTGTCCCCTGGGCATTGCCTTGCTGCTTTGACCTCAGCCATCGCTCACAAGGATGCAGTCGGCTGTTGCTTCTTCCAGGCAACCCCGTGGCACCTCCTCGAGGTCTTCCCAGCCCCAGGAGGTGATCGAGGAGTCCTTTTGGCCAAGGCGAGGAGGAGCAGGGTATTTCTGTGTGAATACTTAAGGTTTGCCCACGCAAAGTCAAGTGAGCCAGGTGAGAACCCCAAACTCCTCGAGGAGCAGCAGATCTTAACCCATGGATCCAGCTGGCAAAGGAATGATTTGGATATATAAGAGCTTTTTCTTTTCCACCTTATTTCAGGAGGGCTTCAGGAAAAGGGGAGCTGTGGGCTCCCAAGCTTCCACTCCACGCCAGGCTTCAAAGACACGGTGGCCAAAGAAAGATTTTTCTTCAGCATCTCCCACTGCCATAGCTGCAAACCAAGGCAAGACAAAACCTTGCAGAAAGGACCTGCTGAACTTACCACGAAGGCAGCAGTCAGTTTGCCCTGTGCTTGGAGTCACTCTGACCATCCGTCCTGATTTCACCTGGGATTGAGTTAATTTTCCTCCCAGTAGCTGGAACAGCACTTGGGATCTGGCATCGCTGGGTGGGTAGTGAGCAATTGCACTGTGCATCACTTGCTTCCTATATTCCTTTATCATTATTATTTTTTCCCTTCCTTTTTGCCCTTTTAAACTGTCTTTATCTCAAACCAAAAGCTATTATTTTTTTTTCCTTTCTTTTGTTTTTTTCTGTTCTGTCCTCCGTCCCTCTGTGGTGGGAGGGAAGTGAGCGAACAGCTGTGTGGTGCTGGGTTAAGCCACAACACTAATCCTTAAAAAGTTTTATCTTGTATCACTCTGCTTCTGTCTCTTTCCTGACAGCCTCGGCTAGCTAGAGACTTAGCACGCTCCATCTGTGTCACTGGACAATGCCCTGTTCTTAATTTTCTTTTCTTTTCTTTTCTTTTCTTTTCTTTTCTTTTCTTTTCTTTTCTTTTCTTTTCTTTTCTTTTCTTTTCTTTTCTTTTCTTTTCTTTTCTTTTCTTTTCTTTTCTTTTCTTTTCTTTTCTTTTCTTTTCTTTTCTTTTCTTTTCTTTTCTTTTCTTTTCTTTTCTTTTCTTTTCTTTTCTTTTCTTTTCTTTTCTTTTCTTTTCTTCTCTTATTATTTTAATTTATTTTTTATTTTTTTATTTTAAACCATTCCTGCAGCTGGGGAAGGCGAAGCTGGGATTTAACCCTGTGATGTCCCCTGAGCTCAGCCTGGGGAAACACAAGTGTTAGAGAGCAGCACTGGAGCCCGGTGAGTTCTCATCTTCCTCTGAGTTATTATTATGTGTGGGGGTGATGATGATATGGGGGAGATGATGAGGGGTGTTATGGGGGAGATGAGGATGTTATGGGGGAGATGAGGATGTTATGGGGGAGATGAGGATGTTATGGGGGAGATGACAATGCCATCAGCTCAGGCACAACAGCATGCTGCTACATGTTAAAACTCTGCTTGATTTCAAATCTCCCTCTTTACAAATGCTGCTAATTTTTGGCCTTCCAGCTATTCCAGTGTGCGGTGGAACGCTGCACGGCGTGAGGAAACAACGTCCTAGCTGCTGCTTGAGGTTATCATGGGGGGACCCAGGTTGGAGCAGTTTGCTCCTGACGGATGGGAAGAAGATTTCCATGGGAAGAAGAGCCCCCACAGGATCAGTTTGGTAAGGAGGCATCCCCTGAGAGGGACCCCACGTTGGAGGCGATGATGACGTGCTCTGCGCTGACCACAGCAGGTGATGAAGTTTTCTGTGCTAACCACAGCCCCAATTCCCCATTCCCCTGAGCTACTCGGGGTGAAGAAGTAGAAGTGGGTGCTGGGGAAGTGGGGAGGGTGTTTTCAGTTTGCTTTTTTTACTTTCACAGTACTCCATTCTGTTGCAATCAGTTACACTGATCTCCCTACGCTGAGTCTGTTCTGCCCGTAATGATTGTTGAGTGATTTCCCTGTTCTTATCTCAACCCTTGAGCCCTTTTTCATTGTATTTTCTCCCCCTTCCCCCTTGAGGAGGAGCGAGAGAAGGGTTGTGATGGCCTTTGGCTGCCTGTTGGTGTGAAACCACAGCAGAAGGTGCAGAAGACCTGTTCCCTCGACCTTACAGTTCTTGCTTATGTCCCAGAGGTCTGACCTCAGTTCGAGGACTGTGAGTGTTAGTCACAAGTAGCTCTGTCTTTGAGGAACTGGAATTAACCTATCTGGTTTCAAGCTTTAAATGCAGATTAAAAAAAAAATAAAAAAATAAAAAAAATAAATTGTGCAAGAGCTTGTTGTGCAGCTAGGGGCTGGCACAGGATGGAGTTGTGGGACTTTTGTGGGACTTAGAGCTGATTTCTTATCTCTCGTCCACCCTGAGAAAAAACAGAAGTCGCAGTGCAAGAAAACTTCTGGTTTTCATTACTGTTCTTCTTCTGTGTTGTTTTTGTTTTTTTTTTTTAAAGTGTCAGAGGGCTGGAGTTTGTGCTGATGCAAGCAACACAACAGCCTGTTCTCTGCCAGCAAATTAATGAGTCATACAGGGAGAGAGCTCTGTATCAAGGCAGCTCCTGCAAGCTGAGTTTACCCATCCCTCAAATGTCTGATCCAGTATGCGTGCACCAAGCGGTCCCAAGGACAGGGATTTCTGCTCTGATCCCTGGTGAACAAGGCTATCTTCCTATAAATTGTATGCCTAACTTCCTTCCCAGGCCTTTCTGCACTCTCTGAACACACAAAAAGAATGATGAGCTCACTGTGCACACTCTCTCCTCCTGATTTGTCGTTTTCTGATCCAAGGGGAACAGAAATGTGGACATTTGGACCTGTACCTGCAGCTTCAGCATCACAGAGCCAAAGGGTGGTGGACCACACACGTGCACCAACACCATAATCAGTGGGTTCAGAGCAGTCTGGTCTGTGAAGAGCAAAGCCATCAGGATTACAGGTAAGCTACGCATCAGTAGGGCTCTCTCTCCACTGTCCTGGACAGCTCTGTTCTTCCATCTCACCTCTCTCTATCCACAGATACTTTCCTCCAGGTCTCAGGCCTTCCATTAACCTGAATTTAACGAAGCACAATGACAGCAGCATTCATTTTTCTTGAAAAACCTTGTTCTGAGGTCACCAGGCTTAGTTCTCTTTACAGATGCTTTTCAAGACCTAGATATGTGTCATTGAAACCTAGGTGGTTAAAAGAGGAAGGAAGAACAGAACCCTAAAGGTATCTATTTGCTTTTCTTTTTCACCATCCAGTCCCACGCTTGGTCTGAACATTTTGTCTGGAGTCACAGGGGAGGGCTGCCACCTCTTCCTCTTCCACAGCTCCTGTAAACAAGGCAGTGATTGTTTCACTTCTGCAGGGAAGATCCTGAGACCACCATCGCTCAGCACTAATGACCCAGCACTGTAGGAAAATGGCATGGGGACCTGTACCTGTGGCTACAGAGGAGATAAGTGGAGGTGCAGTGGATTTGGTCCTTCCTCAGCAGTGTTGTGAAGGGTAACTTCCAGCTTTTCCCCTCGAGGGCCTCCTTTTGCTTTCCTGGGAGTGGATACTACTCCAACGGTGATAAGTGGAGGCCACCCCTTACATCCCACCTGCATTCCCTTAAAATGCTTCCTATTGTGGAAAATAAATGGTCAAGGCCATCACCATGTTTCATCCCTGCTCCTGTCTCCCCAGTGCAGGACAATTTCAGTCACCCTCCTCATCCTCAGGGTCTTCCTAAGCCAACACTCACAGACTGGTTGAAGTTTGAAGGGTCCTCTGGAGGTCATCTTGTCCACCCCCCTGCATGGAACAAGAGCAAGGGATCTTGCTCCTCTTGCTCCTCTTGCTCCTATCATGAGGAAGATGTCCAAGGCAGGAGACAGTAGATAAAAGCCACCTTCTGTCCCCCAACCTAAGGTATTGATGAGGTAGACTATGGTTCGTGGGGCAAAGAGAGTGCCCAAAGGAAGGACTGAGAGCACGTAGGGAGAAATGCCATCTGAAAACATGATGACAACACAGAAAAACACAGAATTAGGGTGTAGTTCCCTCACGATTCTCGGATGTGGTTCGTGGCTTCCATTTATTTCTGCAGCACTTCCTCTTCCTCCCCCCGTGAGCCCCAGGCTCAAGTCAGACCGATGGAGAGAGCAGCACGGAGCAACCAGACAGCGCGTCCCGCTCCCGGGCAGCCCAGCTCAGAGCCCTCAGCACCCCCTGGACCGCACTGACATGATTGCCCCCCGCCTCGTGATCTTCCTCAGTGAGTCCCCATGTGTCCACTTTGCCTTTTCTCTCTTCTCTTCTCTTCTCTTCTCTTCTCTTCTCTTCTCTTCTCTTCTCTTCTCTTCTCTTCTCTTCTCTTTCTCTTCTCTCTCCTTCCTCCTTTTCTCTCTTTATTCACCTCACTTTTCTTTCCCTTTCTTTTGCCTCTAGACCTTCTTCTCCTTTATATCCTTTCCAGCTTCTTTCATTTTTCTGCCCTCATCTTTTATTTTTCCTCTTTCTGACTTTCAATCCAATCTTGTTTCCTTTCTTTCACCTCCTCTATATACCAGTCTTCCTTTCCTTCTCCACCTATACTTATTCCCTTCCTTCCTTCCCTTCCCTTACCCTTCCCTTCCTCCCTTGCCCTTCCCTTCCCTTCCCTTCCTTCCCTTCCCTTCCCTTCCCTTCCCTTCCCTTCCCTTCCCTTCCCTTCCTTCCCTTCCCTTCCTTCCCTTCCCTTCCCTTCCCTTCCCTTCCCTTCCCTTCCCTTCCCTTCCCCTCCCCTATTAGATGTCCCCACCATGTAATTCCCATTCCTCACTTTGCTCTCACACTCAGACCTTCTCCCCTCTTCTCTTCCAGCCACCGTGCATCTCGTGCCCTGCCAGATGGTCTCCAAGGAAGGTAACTCCTCTGGGGTCTCCTTAAACAGGGGCTGAGCTGCTGGGGGCATGGCTGGATTTGGGGTCCCACAGGTGTGACTTTCTGGGGGACCCTCAGCCTCATTCCCCCTCCCCATAAGAGCCCAGTGGTGAAATTGGGTGCTGGGGCTTTTTCTTTATCTCACTTTGTTGAAGTCCTGCCTCGTGTCAGCACCCTGCTGATGAGTGGAAACCCCTCGAGACCCAACCCCTTCCCGGCCCTCTCCTTCCCACACCTGCTCCTCCCAGTTTGGGTGTGGGACGATGGTATTTTGGTAGGGTTTGGTGGAGGCCAAACGCTTTTTTCCAATGACTGCTGTGGAGGAGCATCAGCGATGGGTTTTACCCTTCTCCCTTAGCCTTTTCAACCCCCCTTCCCCATTTCCTATTTTCATAAATTACCAAGTTGCAGAAAAAAAATAATAATAATTTGCTTGAAAGGACATGAAGGACATTTTGGCTGGCATGACAAAGCTGCCCAGGGTGTGGGAAGGGTTTTTGCAGTCTCCTTTCTTTCATCACTTCCCTCAGCAGGATGCAACCTTGTGCTGAATCACAAGGAGATAAAATGAGTCATAGCCCAGAGACATTTCTGCTTTATGAGGTCCCCTCTGTGCTTTATTGTATTCCTTGAAATGCAAGCCAGTTTCTTTTATTTGCGTGGAGTTAGTCCCTCCTGCCTCTGCTCCTTGCACCTCACCTCTGTCCCCCCTGCCTGTTTCCCTCTCTATCCACCAGCCGCAGTCCCTGCCCCGACCCTCTGGGTGCTGCAGGGACAGAAGGAATATTTCTTCGGAGATGTTGTCACGCTGGTGTGCACCACTCCCCGCAACATCACTGGGAGGCTGATGTACCAAATTTTTGGCGACGGTGGCTGGGCAAATTCAGGATTTAGCTCGACGAATAACTACACGTTTGAGTTCGTCCTCTCCCGAATGCAAAACAGGGGGCCACATCTCTGCAGATATTCCATCGGGCAAGGTCCGAAGCAGCTCACATCCCCAACCAGTGCAGAACTGGTGATCAAGATTGGAGGTGAGCTGTGTGATTTCTTTATCTTGCTCTCTGCTTTATCGCTCCTCTCTGAGAACTGTTCAGATGCCCAAACGTGGGGATCAGCTACAGCTCCTCACCTGGAAGTCTCCCAATAGGACTGGTGGGCTTTGTGGTTTAACCCAGCCCATCCCCCAAATCTGGAGACCTCTTTGTGCTGTCCTTATTGCTATGTCTCCATTTATTCCTCCCCTTTTACGTCTCCATTTATTCCTCCCCTTTTACGTCTCCATTTATTCCTCCCCTTTTCTCAGACCACCCTCCCCAGCCCCTGCTGATGGTGGAGTCCCCGCAGGGAGAGGTGATGGCAGGAGAACTCCTAAGCATCATCTGTAAGGCCCCTGGAAATGTCACCATACGGAGGTTTCACTTCTACAGGGATGGCCAAGAGGTCCTCCCTGTGGCAGAAGGCTCCGAGGACAATGCAGCAGATCATGGGGGCAGTTTAAGGACTTCCATGGTCCTGCAATTCCCACGTGCTGGTCCCCAACACAATGGAAACTTTACCTGCAAGTATGAGGAAAAAAAGCCTGAGAGGTGGATCCCCTCCTTCACAAGCCAAGCCGTGTCTATCAGTGTAAATCCCCCAAAGAAAGGTGAGCTGGCCATCCATCCACTCACCTAATGATCTGTCAGTGCATCCAGCACCAACCCCATCCATCCATCCATCCAGTTACCAACCCATTAAACTCTCCCTCTCTCCATCTGTCCATCCGTCTGTCCCTCCCTCTCTCCACTTTTTCCTGAAACTATTCAATTTCAGTCCCTGTACATTCCTCTCCAAACTAGCTGATTCTTGCACCAGGCAGCTGCTCTATCCATCCTTCCATCCATGACGTAGCCCCCCCAGCCTTTCACCCACCTCTCCCTCCCTCTCAGCCCTTCCATCACCCCAACCACTCCAAACAAGTATCAAGCATCCCTCTGCCCACCCTTATGGCTCAGCAGCCTCTCCTTGGCCTCCTGAGCCATCGTTCTGAATTTTCTGAGTGCCTCCTGCAGAGCCAAGCAAGCGGGGAAGGTATTTGGGTGTTTGGCACTCAGGACCTGAGCAGAATGCCTGGAGAAGGACGGGTAGGGAAAGGGAAAGAGAGAGGGTGGCAGAACGATGCTCACATCCTCCCCGAGCGTGCATGAACTGTGTCTACATCTCCTAACCTGTCCTCCCTCTTGCAGGCAAGAGCTGCTTCTTTCTTCTGCGGCTCCTGGTTGTGGGTGGCTGCTTCCTCACCATCAACAGCCTCATCCTCCTCTTCTTCTGGGCCCGGGGGAGAAGCAAAGGTACACCCTGAGCTGAGAGGGGAATTGCCCCACTTTCGGGCTCCCCACCACCCACCTCACTCCTTCCCGCAGATGCTTCGTTTCTGTGTGGAGCCAGCCCTGCTGGGATCTCCCAGCTGGATGCCAGATCCCCATACACCCTTCAGGAGGATAATAAGTACGAGGAACACTAAGGAGAGGAAGGTGCTGTGAGCGATTCCACCCCCTAAAGACTGCTCCCTGCTGAAGACATCCCAAAAGACTGGTGTGCAGCCAAACGAGTGCTCAGCTGTGGGAAAAGAAAGCAAGAATCGGTTCCTGGGAGGACGAAAGAAGTAGAAAAGGGACATTTCACGTGGTAAAGGGGAGGGAGGAGACACCGACGTTGTTGGGAAGGGTGGTTGTGAAAGAGAAAATGAAGGAAGACCAGGAATAAAAATGGAAATTGTGAGAAAAAAAAAAAAAAGAGTGATAAAGGGTGAGAAAAGAAATGGAGAGAAAAAATGAAATGGAGTGAAAAAATGAAAGCATGGACAGAGGCTGAGACAGAGTGAGAGAGGGATGGGGAAGAAAAGGGATGCCAGGAGCATCCAGGAGGGCACAACAGTGGGAAGAGCAGGTTGGAGAGGCGAAGGAGAAGAAAAAAGGTGGAAGGAGAGTCCCCAAAGCAGCACGAGCCCTCGTGTGTGTCATTAACTGGATGGCCACCACTGTCACCTCGCCTGGGTTGTCCCGGTGTGTTAGGGCATCCAGGGAGGGGTGGGAGAGCTGCTGCAGGTGGGGTGGGTAACTGGGGGCTCTGGCGTTTGGGATTTTGGAGGGGAATGTCCCATATCCCATATATGTGGGAGCTGTGGGGCTGCAGTAGGAGGATGCTGGAAATGCAGAGACTGGGAACCAGAAAATGTGGGGGTGGCATTTGAACCCCTGGGGGTGGCATATGGGGAACCAGGGGGATATTGGGGTGGGGCATTAAGGAGTGAATGGTGGATATTTGGGGCATGTGTGGGGCTGTGGGATATGAGGCTGGAGGAACCACTCTCTCCTGTCCTCTGCAGCCTTATCTCCACCTCGCAGCCTTCCTTCCACTCCAGCCTCTTTCTGCCATGCCTTCAGCCCTTGGCAGCCAGCAGTGGATGAGGAAGCATCGATAGAGGGCAGGGAGCGTGCTGCCCGTAACCCATGGGTTTTGTGTATTTGTCCCAAACCCATCGCTTGGCTTTGGCAGTTTCTCTCCTCCTTCCTTCCCTTTCTCCCTCTTGGGAAGATGGAAAGGGACTGATGAGAAGTGGCTGATGGAGTCGCCGAGCCTCTCTCCATCGTATTTGAAAAGTCCTGGCAGTCGGATGAGTCCCTGGTGACTGGAAAAAAAAAAAAAGGAAACATCACTCCTTTTTTAAAAAAGGGTAGAAAGGAGGACCTGGGGAACTACAGACGGGCGAGCCTCGCCTCTGTGCCCGGCAAGATCATGGAAAATCCTCCTGGAAGCAATGCCAAGGCACATGCAGGACAAAGAGGTGATCCAAGACAGCCAAGTCTGAAGATGACACCAAGCTGTGCAGTGCCTGCACCAGAAGGAAGGGATGACCCCCAAAGGGCCCTGGACAAGCTGGAGATTTGGGCCCACGTGAACCTAATGGGGTTCAACGAGGCCAAGGGTCTGGTGGATGAGAAGCTCGACATGAGCCAGCAGCAAGTGCTCAAAGTGCCGAGGTCCAGGCTTCCTTTGCTCCACCCCATCCATGCTTTCTCCTAATTACCCAGCGCCAACCACAACTAATTAGGAGGGAGGAGGCTTCCCTTAAACTCCGTTGGGTGTTGGGGCACTGTTTGAGGGCTGCTTGCAGGCTGGGGGCCCTTCCCCAAATTTCTTCCAGCCCTCCCAAACCCTTCTGTCTGTCCCTGCATGCCCTTCCTCTGCCTGTCCCCAGATCCTCTGCCCACCCCACAAAGCCCCCTCCTTTCTCCAACCCCTTGCACCCCCAGGACATACATCTCCTAGCTCAGGGGCTTTGCCTGTCTCCTCCAGGGATTTTCCCCTGGTTCCCCTCCCTCTGGCAGTTGCTCAGAACACTTGGTGTGACCTCCCTTCATCACAGCTCAGCAGGAAACCCTTGAATGAGAAGGAGTCAGCAAAACTGCAGCAGGAAAAGAAACTGAACTCTGTTATGGTAATTGATGTGCATAATTTGCGTAACAATTGCTTGCTTTACGAGTTTGTGTCTGCATGTGCTTCATCTGGGGCTTTGCCTATGGGATACGACCCCTGGACCTGCAGTGGTCCTTGTCCTCCAAGGTGGGCTGATGTGGCTCCCCCCCCATCCCCAACAGGGCTAGGGGAGAGAATCGTATGGGCAAAAAAATAACCTTTTTATTTTTTTAGATAAACTCACGGGTTGTATAAAGGCCGTTTAATAAGTGAAGCAAAGCTGTGCACGCAAGCAAAGCCACCGAATTTTGTTCGTTCTCTGCTTCTGATGGTAGACAGATGTCCAGCCACTCCTTGGGATGCTTGGGTGCTCTCTTCACATTTCTACAATCTCTGGGGTTTTGCAGCTACATCTTAGGGACGCGGTTTGGAGGTAGACTTGGCATGGCTAGGTTAACGATTTGACTTGATCTTGGAGGTCTTTGCCAACCCAAATGATTCTATGATTTCTATCATTCTATGATTTCTATGATTTTTATGATTCTATGATTCTATTTCGATGATTCTGGTATTTCTACATTTCTATGATTTCTACGATTCTTTGATTCCTGTGGTGATGGCTTCAAGGATGCAAGAGGAGCAGAGCAAGTGATGCCTTGGGCTGAGCCTCTGCTGCTGAGCTGGGCTCCTGGGACACAGGGAGCTTATGGCAAGCAAGCAGAGCTGCAGAGAGTGCCACCCCACCACCTTCTTACCCTGCTTATTCCTCTTGGAGAGGCTATAACCATCCACTGCAGCACACCAGTGTCCTGGTTTCAGCTGGGATAGAGCTAGCTTTCTTCCTAGCAGCTGCCCTATGTTAGGGCAGCAGAGGAAAGAGGGTGTGGAGTTCGTTTCTAGGGCAGAGAGTTAAATTCAGGAAGGAAGTATGGGGCTGGGACTTGTTAGCGGGCTGGGGAGCATTAGGAGGTCTTTGAGAAAAAAAATGGGCAAGTAGTGCAGAACTCACAAGCTGTGGCAAATCCCCAGAAGACTCCCCCAGCAATAAAGATGTCTTTGCTCATCTATGACTGTTGTCTTTGCTACTAGCAGGGATAAGGGGACATGCTTCTCCAAAGACTTGCAGCCTCCTTGCCTCTTTCCAGTGTAATCCAGTTTCAGAGCGCATCCCTTCATGGCTTCATCATCAGTGGTGGCCCTCAGGGAAGCCACTAACGTGGAGGTTTGTGCCTGCCTTCTTCAGAGGCTTCTTCAATCTTCCTTCAGCAGCTGCAGTTCAGGAACTTGGCACCAGAGAGTGCATGAAAATGCACAATGCCTTAACAAGATAACCTCTGCATACCTTAGCCTCGTTCTGCTCTTGTGGGGTTGATTAGAGAGAAACCATAACTATAGTCTAACCGAGAAGATTTCCAAAACAAAGAACAAGAAGTTTTCTTCTATTTTCCTTTTTCTTTATTTTTTTTTCCACTTAGGGAATATGCAATCTCAAGCATCTCCAATTCCTAGTGATCCAGAGTGTTACATGATGAAATCTGAATATGTAGATCTTTTTTTTGTCAGACACTGGATACACTGGATAGCCTAAACACCGTGCTAGGCCTGAGAGCCAGGCCCGACGCCAGCGGCCACCAGCAGTGCCTGGAAGACCTGCCCGCCTGCCACCAGCCCAGCCTCCGCGGACGCCACGGCCCCCATGCCTGGCACAATAACATGGGAAGGCACGGGACGGGCCCAGCGCCCCCCAGGCCTCGTGGGCACATACACCGCCCCCACGGCCCCCACCCTCCTTCAAGGGCTGGGGGAGGCCCCCCTGGGGTGCAGCCTGGGGCAGTTACTGAGCCCTTGGCTGTACCCTCAATAAATATTGAATAATACAGCACAGCAGTCCGGCTTTTTTTGTCAGACACTGGATAGGCAGTCTTCACCCCAGCCCCCCCATCTGCCATTTCTCTTATCAGTCACCGGGGATTTCCATCAGTCCTGTTAAAATCACAGCTTTTCCCACCCAAGGCTGCCACTGGATGTTTCTGCACCAATTTCCACCTGCTTTGTTTGTGGCACTGCCTGCACACAGACACAGGGTTCCTCTGCCTTACCAGAACAAAAAGAAGGGAAAAAAATATAATAAAAAGAGATTTGATTACAAAATAAAATGCATTGCTCAGCTCTCTGTTAAGTCCAAGATGCCTCTACTGAAGTCCATTTTCAGCCATGCCCCACCTCGGTGGAAAATCTCCAGTGAGAAGTACAGAAAAGGACAGACAGGAGGGCAGGTAAGGAGCTGGCTGCAGAGGCATCAGACAGTAACAATAAGAACAGCAATAACAATAAGATAATTACCAGCAATAATTATCACATTATATTATACTACAATATATTATTATATTACAAATATTAGACAAATATTTAAATATTGTAGTATGATAGATAATAAGCAGCAGTAGTAATAAGAACAAAAATAGTAACAATAATAAGTATAATAATAAGACAAACCAAGCAAAGGACAGCAATCAGATACTAAGATTTGTCACAGACATTTGTCAAGAGAGGTAGGATGTTTATTGCCCTTGAGAAATGTCCATGAAACCACTTTCTTTATACGATTCTTGATCTCCTTATATGATCTTGATATCCTCATGCTGTAGATGAGAGGATTTCACAGAAGAACTGGTCCACAGCATTGCCTGGGCAGAGAGGAAGAGAAAACATTTTGTCTGTGTGCAGGAGGGCATTGATGAACCCATAGCCCCAGGCAGCTGCTGCCACGGTGGCACAGGCTCTATCCTTGATAGAGATGGCCCTGGTGTCCCACAGGGCATTGGCCATGGCTTTGGGGACAGTGGTGGAGATGCAGCCCAGGTCGAGGAGGGCGAGGATGAGGAGGAAGAAGTACATGGGGGTATGCAGGCGGTGGTGGCAGGCTACGGCGCTGAGGATGAGGCCCAGGAGGGCAGCCAGGGAGATGCTGCAGGGCCAGGAGGTCACCACACCTCTCCGAGACACCGTCAGGGCTGCAAGGTCACAACACCTCTGGGTGATGCTGGGCCGTGAGGTCCTGACACCCCATTGTGATGCTGGGCCGGGCCACAGGCACTGCTGCGCAGCGGTCCTGACGGCAGCACTAGCTGCAGCTGCAGCGGTGGTGGTGGAAGCATGGTGCGAGTGTGGGGAGCCACGGCCCGTGCCTGCCTCTTCTTCCTCCTCCTGGTGGCCCTGTGTGCCCGGGGTGCCCAGGCTGCGCCATGGCAACCACCGGGAGCAGGTGGGTGGACAGGGCCGGGGCCAACACCAAAGCCTGGGCGGCATGGTGCTGCGCGGCACGCATATTGATGGAGGGGCCGGGGCCGGGCTAGCAGCAGGGCCGGGCGGGCACCGCGGGCAGGAGGCAGGCAGGAGGCAGAAGCCGCGCAGGGTGGCACGGTGGGGCCGTGGCTGCTGAGGGGTCTTTTCCTGCCGGGGGGGCCGGGAGCGGCGCTGAGGCCGAGAAGCCTCAGCCCCCTCAGTCAATGCACAGCATGCCATGGGAACTTCTCTCATCTCTGCTTGCTTTTAGATTATGACAAGCTCGGTTCGCCTATTTTGGATCTTGGTTTGGAGCCTCAGGAGGATCCCCGAGGTGAGTTGTGAGTGGGCTTCCTTGAAGGAAGATGGCTACTGTGCTGTAATAGTTTCTTGAGGGTCTTCCAAGTGGGTTTGTGCCTTGAGGGGGCTTGCACAAATGAGCCCTGAGTATTTCTGCACTTGGAGAGATGCCACCCCTGCCCCTCTCCACAGAGAGGGGAGAACCCAGGCTTTTCTTCCTATTTGGGCCACGTCATTGCCTGACCGCTTTTGCCAGTGCCTCCCAGTCACTGAGGAGGAGGCAGGCCCCGAGAGGCAAGGGAAGCTCCCCTTCCCTGTGTCTGATCCCACTTGTGCCCACAGGCAGTGTTGGTGAAGTGCCTCCGTGGAATCCTGCTCCTGAGCCTGCCAGCATGGGTCCCACAGGTGGTAAGTTGTCAGTGTTCATTCCCTTGCTATTTGCTAACGCTTTGTTGAGCTAGCTCAGCAAGGGTTCAGCTGCTCACTGGCCAGCGGGCTGCTCCATGACAAACATGGGTGATCATTTTTCCTGGGGTCTGCAGGCTCCCCCTGCGCGGGGGTTCCTTTGTGCCCAGCAGGTATCTTCCCGTAAGAAAGACCTGAGGGGCCACATCTTTGTCGGCGTGGTCCCTGCGGGGCATTGTGCACGGCCTCGAGAGAGGATTTGGGAGCAGCTCAGCAGGCCCCTTTGTGGCTTTGGAAATCTGGGCTCGTGCCTGGGTCCCTCATCATTACCCGAGCCCCCTCCAGTTGCTGCAGCTCACTAAGGAGGAGGTAGATCACACCATGCGAGGCCAATGTTTCTCTTCTGTGTTTGATCGCAGCAGTTCTCGCAGGCACTGGCTACTCGACACCTCAGCTTGATGTGGTCCACGGGCCTCAGCCCAATCCAACAGGTAAGTCAGCGCAAGGAAGGAGCATCCAGGTGCTGCAGAGCCCAAATGTCAGCCAGGCATCCCTGCAGGATGATGCAGGTTGTGCCCTGTCCAGGCACGACCCCTGGTATGCTCTCCTTCTGAGCTACTGATGTAGGTGTTGATGTGACAGAAACTTCTCATGGGTCTTTGCTTGCAGAAGTGTCCCCAGGGAGGGCTTTACCAGACCCTCGGCTGTTTCCTGCGTTGAAGCCCAGCTGGTCTCGCAGGGGTGGGTAGTCATTTCACTGACTTCATGCACTATGCCCAGTTCTCCAAATTGCACTGATGCCAAAGTGAACTTGCTGCTTTCTGTTCAGGTCCTCTTAGAAGAAAGGGAAAAGCTGATTTAAGAAAAGCTTCCCCAGCGTCCTCTGACATCATAGAGGATATCGTAAAGGAGTTAGCGAAGGCAGCACCTGGTGGGTATATTTCACTCTGTCTTTTGAGAAGCACTACCTTCCAGAGACACCATCCTGGAAAGGAGGAGCCGTTCCTTATACTCACACTGTCCTGCTTTCTTTCTAAAGGGATAGCCAGAGAGACAGTGCCCAAGGAGGTACTCTGGAAATTAAACAGTCGCACGCTGCCACTCTCTGGCAAGAGAGCAAAGGCAACGCAGGCAACTGCCACGCCAGGTAAAGGCTGTTTCTTGGCCATCCGCTGTCACCAACCAGAACCAGCATGCGCGTGCAGGTTCTTGCCCGGGTACCCGCTCTTGCACCTCATGGTAGCAGCCAAACCCATGTGAAGCCCATGGAGCAGACGCTGGGAACGGGACCCCTCCTGTGAACTGAGGCCCCCAGTGATGCCCTGAGCCAGTGCGGATGGGGCACTGCCTCACTGCCCCTCCTGAATTACCAGGAGTGCACAGGACACAGCAATGTCCACAATTGTTCTTCCAGGCGTGGATGAGGAGAACAAGGGAAACACCACAGAGCCCCCAAACTACCGCCGGTACTGCATAGAAGGGGCTGCAGCGTTCTTGGTTCCCCTCCTGCTTGGCACAGTTGCCTGCTGTGTGCTGATCAGGCGTTGGAGGCAGAAAAAATCGGTGAGTTGTTGTTCCCGCACTCCCTCTCCTCACCTCCTCCCAAATTCTTTGCCTTGAAGAGGGGCAGTCAGTGTGTCACAGCCACACCTGCGTGCTGTCAGCGTGCGTGTCTTCAGCACAGACAGGGCTTGTGTGTTTAATTACACATCCCAAAGAGCGGATGGGCAGCACCTCACCGAACAGTGAGCCCAGGCTGCCACCTTGTTGGGCCAGGGCCAGGGCCAGGGCCAGGGCCAGGGCCAGGGCCAGGCAGGGAGCTGAGTGCTGGTCCTTGCCAGGCACTCTGGGGAAGGGCAGACGGTGGCTTTTGGGGCTTGGCCATGCTGGAGCCCAGCTTTGCAAGCCTGTCTCTGCGGGGGCCAGGTCTTCTTCCTGGGACAAGCACGTGCAGAGGCAGGCAGGTGAGGATGGCCGGCGAGGCGCTGGGGAGGGAGACGAGGTTGTGTGGAGGGGATCCGAGTCCCATCCGAGGGCACGGGTTGTCCCAAATTCTGCACAGAGCACTGCGTGCCCGCAGCTCACGTACAGCTGGGTGCCTGCACCCCGCTGCCTCGCACCCGCCTGGCACCGCAGCCGCAGCACGGCCTCAGCAATTCCTGTCCCCGCAGGCGCCTCGCCGCAGCCCAGGCAGCCCAGAGCTCCTTGAGGCCATCCAGGAGGCCTGAGCACCGTGAGAGGCCTGAGAGCCAGGCCCGACGCCAGCAGCCACCAGCAGTGCCTGGAAGGCCTGCCCGCCTGCCACCAAGCCCGGCCTCCGCGGCCCCCACGGCCCCCACAACAGTGGAAGGCACGCGACAGGCCCAGCGCCCCCCAGGCCTCATGGGCTACGGACACCGCCCCCACGGCCCCCACCACCCTCCTTCAAGGGCTGGGGGACGCCCCCCCGGGGTGCAGCCTGGGGCAAATTACTGAGCCCCGGGCTGCAGCTTCAATAAATATCCAATAAGACAGCACAGCAGTCCGGCTCTTCTGTACAGCAATACCCGGGAACACGCAGCAGGACTTTGATGGAGAAGTACCCCTGAGGGTCCTCGGTGCTGGGGGTCAGCCAGCCTGTGCCCACCATGCAGGGAACGCAGGGGAAGGGAGCTGGGGAGCAGCACAGCAGGAGCAGGCAGAAGGGCTGTGAGCGCGCCACTGACCCTGCACAGCGCTCAGCCGAGAACCCCCCTGTTCAAACTGGCTGTGCCACAGCCACACAGGCAGGCCCGGGCCCTTCCTGATCCTGTTCCTCCCCCACAGCCAGCCCTCCTCAGGTCCTGACACTGCCCGGATGGCCGATTTGGGCCAGGGTGCCCCATGCCAACGCTCCCACGGCTCAGCTCTCCTCAAGGGGCACACAGAGATGTACCCAGCTCTTTGCAGTCAGGGCTGGGATTGCCACATGCTGGCACGAGGGACTGCAACCAGAGGGGAGACCCGAGGCGCTGCCAGCACCATTTGCAAATCCTCACTTGAGGGTGGCCCTCTCCTCCCGTGGGGCTCTTTTGCGGAGCAGCATGACAGCAGGCTTGTGGGAGAGAGTGCTGAGAGCTCGGCTCGAGCTCCCGGAGTTGCGGAGTTATACAACCCCACCCGCAACAGGACTCTGCGCCTTCTCTCTCTCCAACCCCTAACCCTAATTAAGGACCCCCCCCCCCATAGCCATTATGACCCACCCAAGCCATTAGGACCCTCCCTGGGCTTCCCCAAATTCCTCCCCCCCTCGGGATATTACCCTAACCCTAATTACGCTCATCAAGCCTCCCATCGGAAGACCCTTGGGTAGACATGCTGTCCGCAACATCTCACACCGTCTAGTAGACCTGCTGTCGCGAAGCCACAATCAACATTCAGGTAGACATGCTGTCGGAACCCACACCTCCCATCTCCCACTGAGTAGACCGGCTGTCCTAACCTCGCCCAGTCTGGGTAGACCGGATGTCCGAACCACCACCACCATCTGGGTAGACTTGCTGTCCCTAACATCTCCCACTTGGGTAGGCCTGCTGTCCAAACCACGGCTGATCTCCCACCCGGGTATAGACCTGTCGTCCTAAATCGCTCATCTGGGTAGACCTGCTCGTCCCGAACCACCTGTCTCCCAAACTGGGTAGAGACCTGCTGTCCCTAACATCTCCCACTTGGGTAGGCCTGCTGTCCAAAACCACGCCTGAGCATCCCACCCGGGTAGAACTCTGCGGTCCCTAACAATCGCTCATCTGGGTAGACCTGCCTTGTCCGAACACCTGTCTTCCCAACTGGTAGACCGCTGTCCGAAATACTCCATTGGGAGCTGTCCTAACATCTCCAACCTGGGTAAACCTGCTGTCCCAACCACACCATCTCCCACCTGGGAAGACCTGCTGTCCGAACCACACACCTCCCAATTTGGTAGACCTGCTGTCCTAACATCTCCCGTCTGGGTAGTACCTGCTGTCCGAACCACATCCTGGCCGGGCCGTTCCCTCCCTCTCTCCCTACCCCTCCCCCTCCCCACCCCGTTTGCCCATTTTACCCTTTTCTCCCACCATTTCGCCGCTCTCACCACAGCTCCCCGACGCCACGAACACTCCCCGTCTTGCACACGGCCTCCACACACCATTTCGGAGCAGCTCAGCAGGCCCCTTTGTGGCTTTGCAAATCTGGGCTCGTGCCTGGGGCCCTCATCATTGCCTGAGCCCCCTCCAGTCGCTGCAGCTCACTAAGGACGACGTACAACGCACCATGCCAGGACAATCTTTCTCTTCTCTGCTTCATTGCAGCTGTTCTCGTAGGCTCTGCCTAGCCAACACCTCAGCCTCATGTGGACCACGAGTCTCAGACCAATCCAACAGGTAAGTCAGCGCAAGGAAGGAGCATCCAGGTGCTGCAGAGCCCAAATGTCAGACAGGCATCCCTGCAGGATGATGCAGGTTGTGCCCTGTCCAGGCACGACCCCTGGTATGCTCTCCTTCTGAGCTACTGATGTAGGTGTTGATGTGACAGAAACTTCTCACGGGTCTTTGCTTGTGGAAGTGTCCCCACGGAGACCTTTGCCAGACCCTCGGCTGCTTCCTGCACTGGAGCCCAGCTGGTCTCGCAGGGGTGGGTAGTCATTTCACTGACTTCACACACTATGCCCAGTTCTCCAAATTGCACTGGTGCCAAAGTGAACTTGCTGCTTTCTGTTCAGGTCCTCTAAGAATAAAGGGAAAAGCTGAATTACGAAAATCTTCCCCAACATCTCCTGACATCATAGAGGATATCGTGAAGGAGTTACAGGAGGCAGCACCTGGTGGGTATATTTCACTCTGTCTTTTTGAGAAGCACTACCTTCCAGAGACACCATCCTGGAAAGGAGGAGCCGTTCCTTATCCTCACACTGTCCTGCTTTCTTTCTAAAGGGATGGCCAGAGAGACAGTACCGAAGGAAGTACTTTGGAAATTAAACGGCCGCACGCTGCCGCTCTCTGGGAAAGGGGCAGAGGCAACGCAGGCAACTGCCACACCAGGTAAAGGCTGTTTCTTGGCCATCCGCTGTCACCAACCAGAACCAGCATGCGCGTGCAGGTTCTTGCCCTGGTACCCGCTCTTGCACCTCATGGCAGCAGCCAAACCCCAGAGTGTCAGTAGGCAGCAAGCGTTGCAGAGGAAGGCAGGAGTGGCTCCCTGGGGATGGCTGTCTGCCCTGGGCTGTGACAGCATGTGACAGCAGTGCAGCAGAGAGACGCTCACCAAGCTCTGTGGCTGTGGTTAGAGAGGGGTCACCTCCCAGCGCACCCCGCTCCCAGGGATTTTGGAACTTTGCTCTTGAGGGAACGAGGCCATGTGAAACCCATGGAGCAGATCCTGGGAAACAGGACCCCACCTGTTTTCTGCGGCCCAGGGTGATGCCCTGACCCAGTGCAGATGGGGCACATCATAGCCTGAGCCCCCTCCAGTTGCTGCAGCTCACTAAGGAGGAGGTAGATCACACCATGCCAGGCCAATGTTTCTCTTCTGTGCTTGATTGCAGCTGTTCTCATAGGCTCTGCCTATCCAACACCTCAGCCTCATGTGGACCACGAGTCTCAGACCAATCCAACAGCTAAGTCAGCGCAAGGAAGGAGCATCCAGGTGCTGCAGAGCCCAAATGTCAGACAGGCATCCCTGCAGGATGATGCAGGATGTTCCCTGTCCAGGCACGACCCCTGGTATGCTCTCCTTCTGAGCTACTGATGTAGGTGTTGATGTGACAGAAACTTCTCACGGGTCTTTGCTTGCAGAAGTGTCCCCAGGGAGGGCTTTACCAGACCCTCGGCTGCTTCCTGCACTGGAGCCCAGCTGGTCTCCCAGGGGTGGGTAGTCATTCCACTGACTTCACACACTATGCCCTGGTTCTCCAAATTGCACTGGTGCCAAAGTGCTCTTGCTGCTTTCTGTTCAGGTCCTCTAAGAGCAAAGGATGAAGCTAGAAGAATAAAACCTTCCCCAACATCTCCTGACATCATAGAGGATATCGTAAAGGAGTTAGAGAAGGCAGCACCTGGTGGGTATATTTCACTCTGTGCGCCATAAGTCTTGAGGCAAACAAGGCAAACACTGCAGAGCCCCCAAATTTCCAAAGTTACTGCATAGAAGGCGCTGCGGCATTCTTGGTTCCCCTCCTGCTTGTGACAGTTGCCTGCTGCGTGCTGATCCGGCGTTGGAGGCAGAAAAATCAGTGAGTTGTTGTTCCTACACTCCCTCTCCTTCTCCCCCGCTCCCAAATTCTTTTCCTTAACTTTGTTAACATGAGTATATGTCTGCTGCTAGCCAGGTAGCAGTTGTCTTTGGCGTATTGTGAAGTGAGCAGTTAGTTTTTGACCAGACTCTTCTGAACTTTCTGCTGTCTGCTGTTTTAGCTGGCCTCTAATTCCTGGGTATTCTGTTCTGGAGCCACTTTTTCTGTTGCTGGTCTTAGCTAAACGTGGTCCTTCCGCAGCAAGAGCAGAGTCAGGGACAGCCGTAGGCAAAGGGCCTTGCCTTGGAGAGTGACATCTAATGTGTCACAGCCGCACCTGAGCGCTGCCAGCGTGCGTGTCTTCAGCACAGACAGGGCTTGTGTGTTTAATTACACATCCCAAAGAGCGGATGGGCAGCACCTCACCGAACAGTGAGCCCAGGCTGCCACCTTGTTGGGCCAGGGCCAGGGCCAGGGCCAGGGCCAGGCAGGGAGCTGAGTGCTGGTCCTTGCCAGGCGCTCTGGGAAGGCAGACGGTGGCTTTTGCGGCCTGGCCATGCTGAGCCCAGCTTGGCACCCCTGTCTCTGCGGGGGTCAGCACGTGCAGAGCAGCAGGTGAGGATGGCCGGTGAGGCGCTGGGGAGGAGACGAGCTGGAGAATGTTGTGAGGGGAGCAAAATCCCAGCCCAGGGCACATGCGCGCCCCAAATTCTGCACAGAGCACTGCGTGCCCACAGCTCACGTACAGCCGGGTGCCTGCACCCCGCTGCCTCGCACCGCCTGGCACCGCGCAGCCGCAGCACGGCCTCAGCAATTCCTGTCCCCGCAGGCACCTCGCTGCAGCCCAGGCAGCCCAGAGCGACAGCCGTGGCCGCTCCTTCAGCCCGTCCAGGAGGCCTGAGCACCGTGCTAGGCCTGAGAGCCAGGCCCGACACCAGAGGCCACCAGCAGTGCCTGGAAGACCTGCCCGCCGCCACCAGCCTGGCCTCGCGGCCCCCACGGCCCCCACGGCCTGCACAAACACAATGGAAGGCACGCGACGGGCCAGCGCCCCCAAGTCTTCTTGGGCACATACACCGCCCCCACGGCCCCCCACCCTCCTTCAAGGGCTGGGGACGCCCCCCCGGGGTGCAGCCTGGGGCAATTACTGAGCCCAGGCTGTACCCTCAATAAATATTGAATAAGACAGCACAGCAGTCCGGCTCTTCTGTACAGCAATACCCGGGAACACGCAGCAGGACTTTGATGGAGAAGTACCCCTGAGGGTCCTCGGTGCTGGGGGTCAGCCAGACTGTGCCCACCATGCAGGGAACGCAGGGGAAGGGAGCTGGGGAGCAGCACAGCAGGAGCAGAAAGACAGAGACCAGAGGCCGTGGGACATGCTGCCCTCTCTCCAGCGGGAGAGGGAAGTTGGCTGGGGAGAGGTGGAGATGCTGGCAGCTGGGCGATCCCTGCAGCTCTCAGCAGGGCTCTCGTGTTCAGTTTGGAGGCTGCTGGTGGTTGAGGTCCGGAAGTCGCTTGCTTTTTGCACATTAGCAAAACAAAGACACCAAACCAAACCAAAAACCATAGCGCTGGCAAGTTTGCTCTACTTATTTTGCTCCCAGATTGCTTTAATTTTTATTTGCATTTTCCCCAAAGAGCTATTTTAATCGGGACATGACAAGGCAGTGCTTATAAACAAGGATTTGCACCCGGCTGACTTGGGGCAGGCGGCAGCAGATGCCAAAGGGGCAGGAATGGGACTTGTGCCGTGCAGTTTGTTATTTATTTCACCCTGCGAGGGATAATTAATTAGAGTTAATTTTCATCACAGCTGCCCTTGTGGTGCCATTCCGGATTTGCGCCCCGAGCAGTGCTGATGGCACACTGCTGCTTTGGCTGCTCTGAGCAGCGGTCGCACGGCACGCACCTAAAGCACCATTTTTAATGCCCCAAGCCCCTTCTGAGCACCCAAAGCCTTCGTTTTGGAACCCAAAGCCACATTGGATTGTCCACAACCCCATTGTAAGAGCCCAAAGCTTACTTTACGGGTCCAAACCCCAAACTGCTTTCAAGAGCCCAGTGCACTGGTTTTAAGATCAAAGCGTCTGTTTTACAATCTAAAACCTCCAGTTTGGATCCAGATCCTGCTTTTTATGGCCCAAAGACTAATTTTTTAGATCAGGGTTATTTCCAGTCTCCTATAGCTCATTTTGGAGTCCAAAACATCCTTTTAAGGGCTTCCACCCTCAGTTTTAGAGCCTCATGCCTCCCAAACCTTTCTCTGTGGGGCCCAAACCTTTCTCTTTAGGGCCCAAACCTTTCTCTTTAGGGCCCAAACCGCTTTTTTAGGCTCTAAAGCCCTCTCCTTAGAGCCCAAGCCCTTCTCTTTGGGGCCCAACCCCCTCTCTTTAGGGACCAAACCCTGCCCTTTGGGGCCCAAATCCTTCTCCTTAGGGCCCAAACCCCTCTCTTTAGGGCCCAAACATTTTAGGGCCCAAACCCCTCTCTTTGGGGCCCAAACCCTTCTCTTTAGGGCTTAAGCCCCTCTCTTTAGGGTCCAAGCCCTTCTCTTTAGGGCACAAAGCCCTCTTTTTAGCTCCCAACCCTTCTCTTTAGGGCCCAAACTCTTCTCTTTAGGGCCCAAACACTATTCTTCAAGGAAAAAAAAAAAAACAGTGAGCAGCGGGAGCATCCGAGCAGCACAGGACGGAGCTCAGCAAGAGGCTGGGGTCAGGGCACTGCGGCAAATAGAAATGCTTTGCTGACTGCAGAGGTTAACCAGGTACACGGCGCTGTTTTACTACATGGTGGAGACCTATGGAGAGTGTTTCTGCCCTCCTTTTTAGCTGAAACATCCCCAGATTCATCCCTCATATTCATCCCCATGACTTGCGGAGGTCATCTGGCCCTGCCTCCTGCTCAAAGCGAGGTTAACTTTGAAATGAGATCGGGTTGGTCTGGGTCTTGCCGTACCCTCAATAAATATTGAATAATACAGCACAGCAGTCCGGCTCTTCTGTACAGCAATACCCAGTAACCCACCGCAGGACTTTGACCCCCAGTCCTCGGTGCTGGGGGTCAGCCAGCCTGTGCCTGTAATACACAATACATGTTTGTTCATTGTCTTTTGATTAGAAAAACAAGGAGTTCTGTTTGAGGAACGGGAGTTGGGAAAACTCCCTGCTGAAGTGAGGAGCTGTCTAATGCTTGGCTAGACACTATGAAAATTCTTTTGCTTAATGTAACAAAAAAGAGAACCCCCTCCCCTTCTCTCCTTCTGCATCTCAGTTGCCTCTTTTGTTCAAAGACCCTGCTGCAAAGCTCACGTAACCATCTCCTGATAAGTTGCTAACCTAGTGTATCAACATCCTGCCTTCCTGTCTCACGCTGGGCCAACATGACCAAATAAAAAAAAAACAGAAGTTGAACCACAACGCCGAGGAAGACTATGGCCTTCATCTTCACGACCACCAGAGGGACAGAGACGACCCCCTAGCAACAGTGCGCGCAGTCGCAGAACATACCAGGATGTGCTGCATAATCCTGGAATTACCAAGATAGAAAAAGGGACCCTGGCGGGGGTGAGGTGCACGCCGTTGGTGGAGCCGAGACTCCCCATATAATCAAATCGACTAAAATCAAATCAAAATCAAACAAATCAAATAAAAAAAAATAATCAAAAAATCAAATCAAATCAATCAATTACACTAAATCCATTAATAAATTAATTAATTAAAGTGAAATGATAGAATGGATCGAATAAATCAAACCAATCAAATCAAATAACTAGATGAGAAATAAATCAAATAAACCAATAAAATAAATATAATAAATATAAAAAATAAAATAAAAAATAACATATCATAAATATAATTTATCAAGGGGCCGCCCAGCGCTCTTTTGCTTGCTGTTGCTTACTCAATACATTCCTTTCTGTTATTAATGCAATGCTCTCTGAAAATTAATTAAGGGGGCAACTTATAACAGGAACCAAGCCCCTCTCTTTAGGCCCCGAACCCCTCTCTTTAGGGCCCAAACCCTTCTCTTTGAGACCCAAACCCTGCTCTTTGGGGCCCAAATCCTCCTTAGGGCCCAAACCCTCTCTTTAGGGCCCAAGCCCTTCTCTTTCAGGCCGCAAACCCCTCTCTTTAGTCCCCAAGCCCTTCTTCTTTTTTGAGCCCAAACCACTCCCTTTAGGGCCCCAAGCCCTTCTCTTTCAGGCCACAAATCCCTCTCTTTAGGGCCCAGACCTCTCTCTTTAGGCCCCATACCTTTCTCTTCAGGCCCCAAACCCTTCTCTTTGAGACCCAAACCCTGCTCTTTGGGGCCCAGATCCTTCTCTTTAGGGCCCAAATCCCTATCTTTAGGGCCCAAATCCCTCTCTTTAGGGCCCAAACCCCTCTCTTTAGGGCCCAAAACCCTCTCTTTAGGGCCCAAACCCTGCTCTTTGAGGCCCAAACCCCTCTCTTTGGGGCCCAAACCCCTCTCTTTAGGGCCCAGACCCTCTCTTTAGGGCCCAAACCCTTCTCTTTGAGACCCAAACCCTGCTCTTTGGGGCCCAAATCCTCCTTAGGGCCCAAACCCCTCTCTTTAGGGCCCAGACCCCTCTCTTTAGGCCCTATACCTTTCTCTTCAGGCCCCAAACCCCTCTCCTTAGCCCCCAAACCCCTCAAATTTAGGCCCCAAGCCCGTCTCTTCAGGGCCTAAGCCCTGGTCTGTCGGCTCCAAGGGTGGATTGTTCAGAGGACGAGCGCAGGGATGAGCCTGAACGCGACCTCTGCCAAGGAGAGGAAACCCTCCTGCATGAAGCCGACCCGGGTAGAGCTGTGGGATGGCATGCAGCGCAGGTGCCTGATGCCCAACATCACCGCCAAAGGGACGGGTACCACAGGAGTAGTGTTGGCAACCACATTTGGGGCTTTCCTTGGGCGAGACCCAGTGCCGGAGCCATCCCGGGGTGTCTCCGCTGGGGCTTTTCATCTGCCACCGAACCCCGGCTCTGGGGGTGCTGCAGGAGCTGTGGGACCACCAGACACACTGTGACCAGATTTTCCTTTGCTTTCCAGAGCAAACAGATGTCTGGAATGTGGTGGCCACTCGCAGGGCATCCGAATCCCCACTCTGGGCTCCTTTGACATAATCCAAAACGGCCCCACGGCCCCCACCCTCCTTCAAGGGCTGGGGGAGGCCCCCCTGGGGTGCAGCCTGGGGCAGTTACTGAGCCCCAGGCTGTACCCTCAATAAATATTGAATAATACAGCACAGCAGTCCGGCTTTTTTTGTCAGACACTGGATAGGCAGTCTTCACCCCAGCCCCCCCATCTGCCATTTCTCTTATCAGTCACCGGGGATTTCCATCAGTCCTGTTAAAATCACAGCTTTTCCCACCCAAGGCTGCCACTGGATGTTTCTGCACCAATTTCCACCTGCTTTGTTTGTGGCACTGCCTGCACACAGACACAGGGTTCCTCTGCCTTACCAGAACAAAAAGAAGGGAAAAAAATATAATAAAAAGAGATTTGATTACAAAATAAAATGCATTGCTCAGCTCTCTGTTAAGTCCAAGATGCCTCTACTGAAGTCCATTTTCAGCCATGCCCCACCTCAGTGGAAAATCTCCAGTGAGAAGTACAGAAAAGGACAGACAGGAGGGCAGGTAAGGAGCTGGCTGCAGAGGCATCAGGCAGTAACAATAAGAACAGCAATAACAATAAGATAATTACCAGCAATAATTATCACATTATATTATACTACAATATATTATTATATTACAAATAGTATGGCCCTGGTGTCCCACAGGGCATTGGCCATGGCTTTGGGGACAGTGGTGGAGATGCAGCCCAGGTCGAGGAGGGCGAGGATGAGGAGGAAGAAGTACATGGGGGTGTGCAGGCGGTGGTGGCAGGCTACGGCGCTGAGGATGAGGCCCAGGAGGGCAGCCAGGGAGATGCTGCAGGGCCAGGAGGTCACCACACCTCTCCGAGACACCGTCAGGGCTGCAAGGTCACAACACCTCTGGGTGATGCTGGGCCGTGAGGTCCTGACACCCCATTGTGATGCTGGGCCGGGCCACAGGCACTGCTGCGCAGCGGTCCTGACGGCAGCACTAGCTGCAGCTGCAGCGGTGGTGGTGGAAGCATGGTGCGAGTGTGGGGAGCCACGGCCCGTGCCTGCCTCTTCTTCCTCCTCCTGGTGGCCCTGTGTGCCCGGGTGCCCAGGCTGCGCCATGGCAACCACCGGGAGCAGGTGGGTGGACAGGGCCGGGGCCAACACCAAAGCCTGGGCGGCATGGTGCTGCGCGGCACGCATATTGATGGAGGGGCCGGGGCCGGGCTAGCAGCAGGGCCGGGCGGGCACCGCGGGCAGGAGGCAGGCAGGAGGCAGAAGCCGCGCAGGGTGGCACGGGGGGCCGTGGCTGCTGAGGGGTCTTTTCCTGCCGGGGGGGCCGGGAGCGGCGCTGAGGCCGAGAAGCCTCAGCCCCCTCAGTCAATGCACAGCATGCCATGGGAACTTCTCTCATCTCTGCTTGCTTTTAGATTATGACAACAAGCTCGGTTCGCCTGGTTTGGATCTTGGTTTGGAGCCTCAGGAGGATCCCCGAGGTGAGTTGTGAGTGGGCTTCCTTGAAGGAAGATGGCTACTGTGCTGTAATAGTTTACTGAGGGTCTTCCAAGTGGGTTTGTGCCTTGAGGGGGCTTGCACAAATGAGCCCTGAGTATTTCTGCACTTGGAGAGATGCCACCCCTGCCCCTCTCCACAGAGAGGGGAGAACCCAGGCTTTTCTTCCTATTTGGGCCACGTCATTGCCTGACCGCTTTTGCCAGTGCCTCCCAGTCACTGAGGAGGAGGCAGGCCCGAGAGGCAAGGGAAGCTCCCCTTCCCTGTGTCTGATCCCACTTGTGCCCACAGGCAGTGTTGGTGAAGTGCCTCCGTGGAATCCTGTTCCTGAGCCTGCCAGCATGGGTCCCACAGGTGGTAAGTTGTCAGTGTTCATTCCCTTGCTATTTGCTAACGCTTTGTTGAGCTAGCTCAGCAAGGGTTCAGCTGCTCACTGGCCAGCGGGCTGCTCCATGACAAACATGGGTGATCATTTTTCCTGGGGTCTGCAGGCTCCCCCTGCGCGGGGGTTCCTTTGTGCCCAGCAGACATCTTCCCGTAAGAAAGACCTGAGGGGCCACATCTTTGTCGGCGTGGTCCCTGCAGGGCGTTGTGCACGGCCTCGAGAGAGGATTTGGGAGCAGCTCAGCAGGCCCCTTTGTGGCTTTGGAAATCTGGGCTCGTGCCTGGGTCCCTCATCATTGCCTGAGCCCCCTCCAGTCGCTGCAGCTCACTAAGGAGGAGGTAGATCGCACCATGCGAGGCCAATGTTTCTCTTCTGTGCTTGATTGCAGCAGTTCTCGCAGGCACTGGCTACTCGACACCTCAGCTTGATGTGGTCCACGGGCCTCAGGGCAATCCAACAGGTAAGTCAGCGGAAGGAAGGAGCATCGAGGTGCTGCAGAGCCCAAATGTCAGCCAGGCATCCCTGCAGGATGATGCAGGTTGTGCCCTGTCCAGGCACGACCCCTGGTATGCTCTCCTACTGAGCTACTGATGTAGGTGTTGATGTGACAGAAACTTCTCACGGGTCTTTGCTTGCAGAAGTGTCCCCAGGAGGGCTTTACCAGACCCTCGGCTGTTTCCTGCGTTGAAGCCCAGCTGGTCTCGCAGGGGTGGGTAGTCATTTCACTGACTTCATGCACTATGCCCAGTTCTCCAAATTGCACTGGTGCCAAAGTGAACTTGCTGCTTTCTGTTCAGGTCCTCTTAGAAGAAAGGGAAAAGCTGATTTAAGAAAAGCTTCCCCAGCGTCCTCTGACATCATAGAGGATATCGTAAAGGAGTTAGCGAAGGCAGCACCTGGTGGGTATATTTCACTCTGTCTTTTGAGAAGCACTACCTTCCAGAGACACCTCCTGGAAAGGAGGAGCCGTTCCTTATACTCACACTGTCCTGCTTTCTTTCTAAAGGATAGCCAGAGAGACAGTGCCCAAGGAGGTACTCTGGAAATTAAACAGTCGCACGCTGCCACTCCCTGGCAAGAGAGCAAAGGCAACGCAGGCAACTGCCACGCCAGGTAAAGGCTGTTTCTTGGCCATCCGCTGTCACCAACCAGAACCAGCATGCGCGTGCAGGTCTTGCCCGGGTACCCGCTCTTGCACCTCATGGCAGCAGCCAAACCCATGTGAAGCCCATGGAGCAGACGCTGGGAAACGGGACCCCTCCTGTGAACTGAGGCCCCCAGTGATGCCCTGAGCCAGTGCGGATGGGGCACTGCCTCACTGCCCCTCCTGAATTACCAGGAGTGCACAGGACACAGCAATGTCCACAATTGTTCTTCCAGGCGTGGATGAGAACAAGGCGAAAACCACAGAGCCCCCAAACTACCGCCGGTACTGCATAGAAGGGGCTGCAGCGTTCTTGGTTCCCCTCCTGCTTGGCACAGTTGCCTGCTGTGTGCTGATCCGGCGTTGGAGGCAGAAAAATCGGTGAGTTGTTGTTCCCGCACTCCCTCTCCTCACCTCCTCCCAAATTCTTTGCCTTGAAGAGGGGCAGTCAGTGTGTCACAGCCACACCTGCGTGCTGTCAGCGTGCGTGTCTTCAGCACAGACAGGGCTTGTGTGTTTAATTACACATCCCAAAGAGCGGATGGGCAGCACCTCACCGAACAGTGAGCCCAGGCTGCCACCTTGTTGGGCCAGGGCCAGGGCCAGGCAGGGAGCTGAGTGCTGGTCCTTGCCAGGCGCTCTGGGGAAGGGCAGACGGTGGCTTTTGGGGCCTGGCCATGCTGAGCCCAGCTTTGCAAGCCTGTCTCTGCGGGGGCCAGGTCTTCTTCCTGGGACAGCACGTGCAGAGCAGGCAGGTGAGGATGGCCGGCGAGGCGCTGGGGAGGAGACGAGGTTGTGGAGGGGATCCGAGTCCCATCCGAGGGCACGGGTTGTCCCAAATTCTGCACAGAGCACTGCGTGCCCGCAGCTCACGTACACCGGGTGCCTGCACCCCGCTGCCTCGCACCCGCCTGGCACCGCAGCCGCAGCACGGCCTCAGCAATTCCTGTCCCCGCAGGCGCCTCGCCGCAGCCCAGGCAGCCCAGAGCTCCTTGAGGCCATCCAGGAGGCCTGAGCACCGTAGGCCTGAGAGCCAGGCCCGACGCCAGCAGCCACCAGCAGTGCCTGGAAGGCCTGCCCGCCTGCCACCAGCCCGGCCTCCGCGGCCCCCACGGCCCCCACAACAGTGGAAGGCACGCGACAGGCCCAGCGCCCCCCAGGCCTCATGGGCACGGACACCGCCCCCACGGCCCCCACCACCCTCCTTCAAGGGCTGGGGGACGCCCCCCCGGGGTGCAGCCTGGGGCAATTACTGAGCCCCAGGCTGTACCCTCAATAAATATTGAATAAGACAGCACAGCAGTCCGGCTCTTCTGTACAGCAATACCCAGGGACCCACAGCAGGACTTTGATGGAGAAGTACCCCTGAGGGTCCTCGGTGCTGGGGGTCAGCCAGCCTGTGCCCACCATGCAGGAACGCAGGGGAAGGGAGCTGGGGAGCAGCACAGCAGGAGCAGGCAGAAGGGCTGTGAGCGCGCCACTGACCCTGCACAGCGCTCAGCCGAGAACCCCCCTGTTCAAACTGGCTGTGCCACAGCCACACACAGGCCCGGGCCCTTCCTGATCCTGTTCCTCCCCACAGCCAGCCCTCCTCAGGTCCTGACACTGCCCGGATGGCCGATTTGGGCCAGGGTGCCCCATGCCAACGCTCCCACGGCTCAGCTCTCCTCAAGGGGCACACGGAGATGTACCCAGCTCTTTGCAGTCAGGGCTGGGATTGCCACATGCTGGCACGAGGGACTGCAACCAGAGGGGAGACCCGAGGCGCTGCCAGCACCATTTGCAAATCCTCACTTGAGGGTGGCCCTCTCCTCCCGTGGGGCTCCTTTGCGGAGCAGCATGACAGCAGGCTGTGGGAGAGAGTGCTGAGAGCTCGGCTCGAGCTCCGGAGTTGCGGAGTTATACAACCCCACCCGCAACAGGACTCTGCGCCTTCTCTCTCTCCAACCCCTAACCCTAATTAAGGACCCCCCAAGCCATTAAGGACCCTCCCTGGGCTCCCCAATTCCCTCCCCCCCTCGGGATATTAACCCTAACCCTAATTACACTCATCATCAAGCCTCCCTTCGGAAGCCCTGGGTAGACCTGCTGTCCGAACATCTCACACCGTCTGGGTAGACCTGCTGTCCGAGCCACATCAACCATTCAGGTAGACCTGCTGTCGGAACCACACCTCCCATCTCCCAACTGGGTAGACCGGCTGGCCTAACATCGCCCATCTGGGTAGACCTGATGTCCGAGCCACCACCACCATCTGGGTAGACTGCTGTCTAACATCTCCCACTTGGGTAGGCCTGCTGTCCAAACCACGCCTGATCTCCCACCCGGGTAGACCTGCTGTCCTAACATCGCTCATCTGGGTAGACCTGCTGTCCGAACCACCACCAATCTCCCGTCTGGGTAGACCTGCTGTCCTAACCACATCTCCAATTGGGTAGACCTGCTGTCCTAACATCTCCCATCCGGGTAGACCTGCTATCCGAACCACACCTCCAATCTCCCGTCTGGGTAGACCTGCTGTCCGAACACATCCTGGACGGGACGTTCCCTCCCTCTCTCCCTCCCCCTCCCCCTCCCCTCCCCCCCCCGTTTGCCCATTTGCCCCTTTTCTCCCCCCATTTCGCCGCTCTCACCACAGCTCCCCGACGCCACGAACACTCCCCGTCTTGCACACGGCCTCCACACACCATTTCGGAACAGCCCCACACAGAGCCTGCACATCACCACGCCCCTTTCTGACTTTGCAAATCGGGGCTCCTGCCTGGGGCCCTCATCATTGCCTGAGCCCCCTCCAGTCGCTGCAGCTCACTAAGGACGACGTACATCGCACCAGGCCACGACAATCTTTCTCTTCTCTGCTTCATTGCAGCTCTTCTCATAGGCTCTGCCTAGCCAACACCTCAGCCTCATGTGGACCACGAGTCTCAGACCAATCCAACAGCTAAGTCAGCGCAAGGAAGGAGCATCCAGGTGCTGCAGAGCCCAAATGTCAGCCAGGCATCCCTGCAGGATGATGCAGGTTGTGCCCTGTCCAGGCACGACCCCTGGTATGCTCTCCTTCTCAGCTACTGATGTAGGTGTTGATGTGACAGAAACTTCTCACGGGTCTTTGCTTGCAGAAGTGTCCCCACGGAGACCTTTGCCAGATCCTCGGCTGTTTCCTGCGCTGGAGCCCAGCTGGTCTCGCAGGGGTGGGTAGTCATTCCACTGACTTCACACACTATGCCCTGGTTCTCCAAATTGCACTGGTGCCAAAGTGCTCTTGCTGCTTTCTGTTCAGGTCCTCTAAGAGCAAAGGATGAAGCTAGAAGAATAAAACCTTCCCCAGCGTCGTCTCACATCTTAGAGAAAATCAGAAAGGAGTTAGAGAAGGCAGCACCTGGTGGGTATATTTCACTCTGTGCGCCACAAGTCTTGAGAAGCTGAGGTTCTAAATCCGTGTGTGGACGCACCGTAACCTGCACAGCAGGAAGGGATGGATCAGAACGGAGACACGCAGTTTCACACCTAGCAGGCACTGCTGAGCCCCAGAGATGGCCGAGCGCCCCTGCTGCCGCTTGTGGGTCCAGCCTGGTCCCAGGGTCAGCTGCTAGCCCAGCATTACCATTTGCTCTTGAGGGAACGAGGCCATGTGAAACCCATGGAGCAGACGCTGGGAAACGGGACCCCTCGCTCCGGTGTACTGCGGCCCAGAGTGATGCCCTGACCCAGTGCAGATGGGGCACCGCCTCACTGGCTCTCCTGTGCTCCTGAATTCCCGGTAGTGCACAGGACACAGCACTGTCCACAATTGTTCTTGCAGGCGTGGATGGGGAGAACAAGGCAAACACTGCAGAGCCCCCAAATTTCCAAAGTTACTGCATAGAAGGCGCTGCGGCATTCTTGGTTCCCCTCCTGCTTGTGACAGTTGCCTGCTGCGTGCTGATCCGGCGTTGGAGGCAGAAAAATCAGTGAGTTGTTGTTCCTACACTCCCTCTCCTTCTCCCCCGCTCCCAAATTCTTTTCCTTAACTTTGTTAACATGAGTATATGTCTGCTGCTAGCCAGGTAGCAGTTGTCTTTGGCGTATTGTGAAGTGAGCAGTTAGTTTTTGACCAGACTCTTCTGAACTTTCTGCTGTCTGCTGTTTTAGCTGGCCTCTAATTCCTGGGTATTCTGTTCTGGAGCCACTTTTTCTGTTGCTGGTCTTAGCTAAACGTGGTCCTTCCGCAGCAAGAGCAGAGCCAGGGACAGCCGTAGGCAAAGGGCCTTGCCTTGGAGAGTGACATCTAATGTGTCACAGCCGCACCTGAGCGCTGCCAGCGTGCGTGTCTTCAGCACAGACAGGGCTTGTGTGTTTAATTACACATCCCAAAGAGCGGATGGGCAGCACCTCACCGAACAGTGAGCCCAGGCTGCCACCTTGTTGGGCCAGGGCCAGGGCCAGGGCCAGGCAGGGAGCTGAGTGCTGGTCCTTGCCAGGCGCTCTGGGGAAGGGCAGACGGTGGCTTTTGCGGCCTGGCCATGCTGAGCCCAGCTTGGCACCCCTGTCTCTGCGGGGGACAGCACGTGCAGAGCAGGCAGGTGAGGATGGCCGGTGAGGCGCTGGGGAGGAGACGAGCCGGAGAATGTTGTGGAGGGGAGCAGAATCCCAGCCCAGGGCACATGGCGCCCCAAATTCTGCACAGAGCACTGCGTGCCCACAGCTCACGTACAGCCGGGTGCCTGCACCCCGCTGCCTCGCACCCGCCTGGCACCGCAGCCGCAGCACGGCCTCAGCAATTCCTGTCCCCGCAGGCGCCTCGCCGCAGCCCAGGCAGCCCAGAGCGACAGCCGTGGCCGCTCCTTGAGCCCGTCCAGGAGGCCTGAGCACCGTGCTAGGCCTGAGAGCCAGGCCCGACACCAGAGGCCACCAGCAGTGCCTGGAAGACCTGCCCGCCTGCCACCAGCCCGGCCTCCGCGGCCTCCGCGGCCCCCACGGCCCCCACGCCCTGCACAAACACAATGGAAGGCACGCGACGGGCCCAGCGCCCCCAAGTCTTCTTGGGCACGGACACCGCCCCCACGGCCCACACCACCCTCCTTCAAGGGCTGGGGGAGGCCCCCCCGGGGTGCAGCCTGGGGCAATTACTCAGCCCCGGGCTGCAGCTTCAATAAATATCCAATAAGACAGCACAGCAGTCCGGCTCTTCTGTACAGCAATACCCGGGAACACGCAGCAGGACTCTGATGGAGAAGTACCCCTGAGGGTCCTCGGTGCTGGGGGTCAGCCAGCCTGTGCCCACCATGCAGGGAACGCAGGGGAAGGGAGCTGGGGAGCAGCACAGCAGGAGCAGAAAGACAGAGACCAGAGGCCGTGGGACATGCTGCCCTCTCTCCAGTGGGAGAGGGAAGTTGGCTGGGGAGAGGTGGAGATGCTGGCAGCTGGGCGATCCCTGCAGCTCTCGGCAGGGCTCTGAGCAGCGGTCGCACGGCACGCACCTAAAGCACCATTTTTAATGCCCCAAGCCCCTTCTGAGCACCCAAAGCCTTCGTTTTGGAACCCAAAGCCACATTGGATTGTCCACAACCCCATTGTAAGAGCCCAAAGCTTACTTTACGGGTCCAAACCCCAAACTGCTTTCAAGAGCCCAGTGCACTGGTTTTAAGATCAAAGCGTCTGTTTTACAATCTAAAACCTCCAGTTTGGATCCAGATCCTGCTTTTTATGGCCCAAAGACTAATTTTTTAGATCAGGGTTATTTCCAGTCTCCTATAGCTCATTTTGGGGTCCAAAACATCCTTTTAAGGGCTTCCACCCTCAGTTTTAGAGCCTCATGCCTCCCAAACCTTTCTCTGTGGGGCCCAAACCTTTCTCTTTAGGGCCCAAACCTTTCTCTTTAGGGCCCAAACCGCTTTTTTAGGCTCTAAAGCCCTCTCCTTAGAGCCCAAGCCCTTCTCTTTGGGGCCCAACCCCCTCTCTTTAGGGACCAAACCCTGCCCTTTGGGCCCAAATCCTTCTCCTTAGGGCCCAAACACCTCTCTTTAGGGCCCAAACATTTTAGGGCCCAAACCCCTCTCTTTGGGGCCCAAACCCTTCTCTTTAGGGCTTAAGCCCCTCTCTTTAGGGCCCAAGCCCTTCTCTTTAGGGCACAAAGCCCTCTTTTTAGCTCCCAACCCTTCTCTTTAGGGCCCAAACTCTTCTCTTTTGGCCCAAACACTATTCTTCAAGGCAAAAAAAAAACAAACAGTGAGCAGCGGGAGCATCCGAGCAGCACAGGACGGAGCTCAGCAAGAGGCTGGGGTCAGGGCACTGCGGCAAATAGAAATGCTTTGCTGGCTGCAGAGGTTAACCAGGTACACGGCGCTGTTTTACTACATGGTGGAGACCTATGGAGAGTGTTTCTGCCCTCCTTTTTAGCTGAAACATCCCCAGATTCATCCCTCATATTCATCCCCATGACTTGCGGAGGTCATCTGGCCCTGCCTCCTGCTCAAAGCGAGGTTAACTTTGAAATGAGATCGGGTTGGTCTGGGTCTTGCCGTACCCTCAATAAATATTGAATAATACAGCACAGCAGTCCGGCTCTTCTGTACAGCAATACCCAGTAACCCACCGCAGGACTTTGACCCCCAGTCCTCGGTGCTGGGGGTCAGCCAGCCTGTGCCTGTAATACACAATACATGTTTGTTCATTGTCTTTTGGATTATAAAAACAAGGAGTTCTGTTTGAGGAACGGGAGTTGGGAAAACTCCCTGCTGAAGTGAGGAGCTGTCTAATGCTTGGCTAGACACTATGAAAATTCTTTTGCTTAATGTAACAAAAAAGAGAACCCCCTCCCCTTCTCTCCTTCTGCATCTCAGTTGCCTCTTTTGTTCAAAGACCCTGCTGCAAAGCTCACGTAACCATCTCCTGATAAGTTGCTAACCTAGTGTATCAACATCCTGCCTTCCTGTCTCACGCTGGGCCAACAGGACCAAAAAAAAAAAAACAGAAGTTGAACCACAACGCCGAGGAAGACTATGGCCTTCATCTTCACGACCACCAGAGGGACAGAGACGACCCCCTAGCAACGGTGCGCGCAGTCGCAGAACATACCAGGATGTGCTGCGTAATCCCGGAATTACCAAGATAGAAAAAGGGACCCTGGCGGGGGTGAGGTGCGCGCCGTTGGTGGAGCCGAGACTCCCCATATAATCAAATCGACTAAAATCAAATCAAAATCAAACAAATCAAATAAAAAAAAATAATCAAAAAATCAAATCAAATCAATCAATTACACTAAATCCATTAATAAATTAATTAATTAAAGTGAAATGATAGAATGGATCGAATAAATCAAACCAATCAAATCAAATAACTAGATGAGAAATAAATCAAATAAACCAATAAAATAAATATAATAAATATAAAAAATAAAATAAAAAAATAACATATCATAAATATAATTTATCAAGGGACCGCCCAGCGCTCTTTTGCTTGCTGTTGCTTACTCAATACATTCCTTTCTGTTATTAATGCAATGCTCTCTGAAAATTAATTAAGGGGGCAACTTATAACAGGAACCAAGCCCCTCTCTTTAGGACCCGAACCCCCCTCTTTAGGGCCCAAACCCTTCTCTTTGAGACTCAAACCCTGCTCTTTGGGGCCCAAATCCTCCTTAGGGCCCAAACCCTCTCTTTAGGACCCAAACCCTTCTCTTTAGGGCCCAGACCCTCTCTTTAGGCCCCAAACCCTTCTCTTTAGGCCCCAAACCTCTCTCTTTAGGCCCCAAGCCCTTCTCTTTAGGCCCCAAACCCCTCTCTTTAGGGCCCAGACCCTCTCTTTAGGGCCCCAAACCCTCTCTTTAGGGCCCAAACCCTGCTCTTTGAGGCCCAAACCCCTCTCTTTGGGGCCCAAACCCCTCTCTTTAGGGCCCAGACCCTCTCTTTAGGGCCCAAACCCTTCTCTTTGAGACCCAAACCCTGCTCTTTGGGGCCCAAATCCTCCTTAGGGCCCAAACCCCTCTCTTTAGGGCCCAGACCCCTCTCTTTAGGCCCTATACCTCTTTCTTCAGGCCCCAAACCCCTCTCCTTAGCCCCCACACCCCTCAAATTTAGGCCCCAAGCCCTTCTCTTCAGGGCCTAAGCCCTGGTCTGTCGGCTCCAAGGGTGGATTGTTCAGAGGACGAGCGCAGGGATGAGCCTGAACGCGACCTCTGCCAAGGAGAGGAAACCCTCCTGCATGAAGCCGACCCGGGTAGAGCTGTGGGACGGCATGCAGCGCAGGTGCCTGATGCCCAACATCACCGCCAAAGGGACGGGTACCACAGGAGTAGTGTTGGCAACCACATTTGGGGCTTTCCTTGGGCGAGACCCAGTGGCGGAGCCATCCCGGGGTGTCTCCGCTGGGGCTTTTCATCTGCCACCGAACCCCGGCTCTGGGGATGCTGCTGGAGCTGTGGGACCACCAGACCCAGCGTGAGCAGGCACCAAACATCGGGTCTCGGGGTGCTGCAGGAGCTGTGGGACCACCAGACACACTGTGACCAGATTTTCCTTTGCTTTCCAGAGCAAACAGATGTCTGGAATGTGGTGGCCACTCGCAGGGCATCCGAATCCCCACTCTGGGCTCCTTTGACATAATCCAAAACGGCCCCACGGCCCCCACCCTCCTTCAAGGGCTGGGGGAGGCCCCCCTGGGGTGCAGCCTGGGGCAGTTACTGAGCCCTTGGCTGTACCCTCAATAAATATTGAATAATACAGCACAGCAGTCCGGCTTTTTTTGTCAGACACTGGATAGGCAGTCTTCACCCCAGCCCCCCCATCTGCCATTTCTCTTATCAGTCACCGGGGATTTCCATCAGTCCTGTTAAAATCACAGCTTTTCCCACCCAAGGCTGCCACTGGATGTTTCTGCACCAATTTCCACCTGCTTTGTTTGTGGCACTGCCTGCACACAGACATGGGGTTCCTCTGCCTTACCAGAACAAAAAGAAGGGAAAAAAATATAATAAAAAGAGATTTGATTACAAAATAAAATGCATTGCTCAGCTCTCTGTTAAGTCCAAGATGCCTCTACTGAAGTCCATTTTCAGCCATGCCCCACCTCAGTGGAAAATCTCCAGTGAGAAGTACAGGAAAGGACAGACAGGAGGGCAGGTAAGGAGCTGGCTGCAGAGGCATCAGGCAGTAACAATAAGAACAGCAATAACAATAAGATAATTACCAGCAATAATTATCACATTATATTATACTACAATATATTATTATATTACAAATATTAGACAAATATTTAAATATTATAATATGATAGATAATAAGCAGCAGTAGCAATAAGAACAAAAATAATAACAATAATAAGTATAATAATAAGACAAAACAAGCAAAGGACAGCAATCAGATACTAAGATTTGTCACAGACATTTGTCAAGAGAGGTAGGATGTTTATTGCCCTTGAGAAATGTCCATGAAACCACTTTCTTTATACGATTCTTGATCTCCTTATTTCTCATGCTGTAGATGAGAGGATTTCACAGAAGAACTGGTCCACAGCATTGCCTGGGCGGAGAGGAAGAGAAAACATTTCGTCTGTGTGCAGGAGGGCATTGATGAACCCATAGCCCCAGGCAGCTGCTGCCACGGTGGCACAGGCTCTATCCTTGATAGAGATGGCCCTGGTGTCCCACAGGGCATTGGCCATGGCTTTGGGGACAGTGGTGGAGATGGATCCCAGGTCGAGGAGGGCGAGGATGAGGAGGAAGAAGTACATGGGGGTGTGCAGGCGGTGGTGGCAGGCTACGGCGCTGAGGATGAGGCCCAGGAGGGCAGCCAGGGAGATGCTGCAGGGCCAGGAGGTCACCACACCTCTCCGAGACACCGTCAGGGCTGCAAGGTCACAACACCTCTGGGTGATGCTGGGCCGTGAGGTCCTGACACCCCATTGTGATGCTGGGCCGGGCCACAGGCACTGCTGCGCAGCGGTCCTGACGGCAGCACTAGCTGCAGCTGCAGCGGTGGTGGTGGAAGCATGGTGCGAGTGTGGGGAGCCACGGCCCGTGCCTGCCTCTTCTTCCTCCTCCTGGTGGCCCTGTGTGCCCGGGGTGCCCAGGCTGCGCCATGGCAACCACCGGGAGCAGGTGGGTGGACAGGGCCGGGGCCAACACCAAAGCCTGGGCGGCATGGTGCTGCGCGGCACGCATATTGATGGAGGGCCGGGGCCGGGCTAGCAGCAGGGCCGGGCGGGCACCGCGGGCAGGAGGCAGGCAGGAGGCAGAAGCCGCGCAGGTGGCACGGTGGGGCCGTGGCTGCTGAGGGGTCTTTTCCTGCCGGGGGGGCCGGGAGCGGCGCTGAGGCCGAGAAGCCTCAGCCCCCTCAGTCAATGCACAGCATGCCATGGGAACTTCTCTCATCTCTGCTTGCTTTTAGATTATGACAACAAGCTCGGTTCGCCTGGTTTGGATCCTGCTTTGGAGCCTCAAGAGGATCCCCGAGGTGAGTTGTGAGTGGGCTTCCTTGAAGGAAGATGGCTACTGTGCTGTAATAGTTTACTGAGGGTCTTCCAAGTGGGTTTGTGCCTTGAGGGGGCTTGCACAAATGAGCCCTGAGTATTTCTGCACTTGGAGAGATGCCACCCCTGCCCCTCTCCACAGAGAGGGGAGAACCCAGGCTTTTCTTCCTATTTGGGCCACGTCATTGCCTGACCGCTTTTGCCAGTGCCTCCCAGTCACTGAGGAGGAGGCAGGCCCCGAGAGGCAAGGGAAGCTCCCCTTCCCTGTGTCTGATCCCACTTGTGCCCACAGGCAGTGTTGGTGAAGTGCCTCCGTGGAATCCTGCTCCTGAGCCTGCCAGCATGGGTCCCACAGGTGGTAAGTTGTCAGTGTTCATTCCCTTGCTATTTGCTAACGCTTTGTTGAGCTAGCTCAGCAAGGGTTCAGCTGCTCACTGGCCAGCGGGCTGCTCCATGACAAACATGGGTGATCATTTTTCCTGGGGTCTGCAGGCTCCCCCTGCGCGGGGTTCCTTTGTGCCCAGCAGCGTCTTCCCGTAAGAAAGACCTGAGGGGCCACATCTTTGTCGGCGTGGTCCCTGCAGGGCGTTTGTGCACGGCCTCGAGAGAGGATTTGGGAGCAGCTCAGCAGGCCCCTTTGTGGCTTTGGAAATCTGGGCTCGTGCCTGGGTCCCTCATCATTGCCTGAGCCCCCTCCAGTCGCTGCAGCTCACTAAGGAGGAGGTAGATCACACCATGCGAGGCCAATGTTTCTCTTCTGTGTTTGATTGCAGCAGTTCTCGCAGGCACTGGCTACTCGACACCTCAGCTTGATGTGGTCCACGGCCTCAGGGCAATCCAACAGGTAAGTCAGCGCAAGGAAGGAGCATCGAGGTGCTGCAGAGCCCAAATGTCACCAGGCATCCCTGCAGGATGATGCAGGTTGTGCCCTGTCCAGGCACGACCCCTGGTATGCTCTCCTTCTGAGCTACTGATGTAGGTGTTGATGTGACAGAAACTTCTCACGGGTCTTTGCTTGCAGAAGTGTCCCCAGGGAGGGCTTTACCAGACCCTCGGCTGTTTCCTGCGTTGAAGCCCAGCTGGTCTCGCAGGGGTGGGTAGTCATTTCACTGACTTCACACACTATGCCCAGTTCTCCAAATTGCACTGGTGCCAAAGTGAACTTGCTGCTTTCTGTTCAGGTCCTCTTAGAAGAAAGGGAAAGCTGATTTAAGAAAAGCTTCCCCAGCGTCCTCTGACATCATAGAGGATATCGTAAAGAGTTAGCGAAGGCAGCACCTGGTGGGTATATTTCACTCTGTCTTTTGAGAAGCACTACCTTCCAGAGACACCATCCTGGAAAGGAGGAGCCGTTCCTTATACTCACACTGTCCTGCTTTCTTTCTAAAGGGATAGCCAGAGAGACAGTGCCCAAGGAGGTACTCTGGAAATTAAACAGTCGCACGCTGCCACTCTCTGGCAAGAGAGCAAAGGCAACGCAGGCAACTGCCATGCCAGGTAAAGGCTGTTTCTTGGCCATCCGCTGTCACCAACCAGAACCAGCATGCGCGTGCAGGTTCTTGCCCGGGTACCCGCTCTTGCACCTCATGGCAGCAGCCAAACCCATGTGAAGCCCATGGAGCAGACGCTGGGAAACGGGACCCCTCCTGTGAACTGAGGCCCCCAGTGATGCCCTGAGCCAGTGCGGATGGGCACTGCCTCACTGCCCCTCCTGAATTACCAGGAGTGCACAGGACACAGCAATGTCCACAATTGTTCTTCCAGGCGTGGATGAGAACAAGGCGAAAACCACAGAGCCCCCAAACTACCGCCGGTACTGCATAGAAGGGGCTGCAGCGTTCTTGGTTCCCCTCCTGCTTGGCACAGTTGCCTGCTGTGTGCTGATCCGGCGTTGGAGGCAGAAAAATCGGTGAGTTGTTGTTCCCGCACTCCCTCTCCTCACCTCCTCCCAAATTCTTTGCCTTGAAGAGGGCAGTCAGTGTGTCACAGCCACACCTGCGTGCTGTCAGCGTGCGTGTCTTCAGCACAGACAGGGCTTGTGTGTTTAATTACACATCCCAAAGAGCGGATGGGCAGCACCTCACCGAACAGTGAGCCCAGGCTGCCACCTTGTGGGCCATGTTGGGCTGTTCGGTGTATTTGGGCTGTTAGTGTGGGCCATGTTGGGCTGTATTGGGCTGTAGTTGGGACTTGTGTTGGGCTGTGTTGGGCTGTATTGGGCTGTGTTGGGCTGTATTGGGCCATGTTGGGCCGTGTTGGGCTGTATTGGGCCATGTTGGGCCATGTTGGGCCGTGTTGGGCTGTGTTGGGGCCATGTTGGGCTGTTGGGCCAGGTGTTGGGCTGTATTGGGCCATGTGTTGGGCTGTATTGGGCCATGTTGGGCTGTTTGGGCTATTGGGCTGTATTGGGCAGTTGGCCATGTTGGGGCTGTTTGGGCTGTATTGGGCCATGTTGGGCCTTTGGGCAGTTGGGCGTGTATTGGCTGTATGGGCCATGTTGGCTGTGTTGGGCGTGTTGGGCTGTTGGCTGTATTGGCCATGTTGGGCTGTATTGGGCCATGTTGAGGCTGTATTGGCTGTTGGGCTGTATGGGCATGTTGGGCTGTGTGGGCCATGTTGGGCTGTATTGGTGCCATGTTGGGCCTGTATTTGGGCCATGTTGGGCTGTATTGGGCCACGTTGGACCATGTTGGGCTGTATCAGAGCATGCTGGGCTGTGTTCAACCATGCTGGGCCATGCTGGACCGTGTTGGGCCACGTCAGGCCACGCTGGGCCGGCTGGGCCGTGCTGGGCCGTCCTGGACCAAGTC